TTCACAAGCTTTAATTAGGTAATTTTCATGTTATTGGAAGGTATCGAAAGAGTCACCGGCGGTAATCAGTGCAAGTCGCGTCCAGGTCAAACCTCATACTTGTGATTTCCAATTGAAGAGCGCATTGGATTGTGGGAAAATCTATGTTTATCAACACAAATGTGGCACATGCGCAGCGCGACGACTTACCGCGCTTTATGACCAACGCCCGGAACAGTGCATCATCACTTTATCCCCGAGTGCAGCGCCCTCAATGGTGGATAATTTGGCAGTTTTCGATAGCACGAGAATTTCACATTAAGTACATTTTCCTCGGAATTACAATTATCGTCAATTTAAGTACAATTAAGGTTGTGTAAATGCCGGAATAGATAATAACACTGTTTGAAATATTATTGTGAATTACGTGGGTGCGCTCTCGGTGTCAAAACTTCACGAGAGGACTCGTATTCAACTCGTATTCACGATCGGCAGTACACTAGCGCTGCATAAAAGAGCACATTCTGCCCACCAGGTTCTCACATTTGTATTTGGGAGAATGGCGACCTTTCGGATGTGCACTTGAGGCTGTCTGTCGGTCCCGTGTCACCTTTCCTATCCTCAGTGCACATAAATGATTCAGCAATAATCAACAGTTGTGAAACGCAGCATGACCGGATTGCGCCACCGAGATCATTTGCTAAGCAATGCAGTTGTGTTCGTTTTTATTTAAAACCTTTTTTGTTAGAATATACTTTTGTTACCAATAAAATAAAAAAATAATTATATTTGGCGTACCAAATTGTAGCATAATTAATCACAATCCTATGACGTCATATGGACGTAGCATGTTTATTTAGAGTTATAACAAAAATACGCACATTACTGTAAAATGACTAATTTTCACTGATTTACCATTTCAGGTTTTAAATTCACAGTGTTATCATTTAGATAATGTGTTCTATGCCAAATTTTACATATTCACTGGGTTTTAATTTAGCGCATTTTCCAGTCAGCGAAATAAGCTAAATTAAAACCCAGTGAATAATTAACCCTTTTACAGTATTCTGGAATAAATATATAATACATGTATAGTAGAAAGTGTCGTAATTCGTGGCATGTTATTCACCCTGTATATGTGACGTCATCAAATATTGTATGACGTGTTGTTGTTCTTTTCTTCTTCTCGGGTGAGCGATATCCCCCTCCCGCCGCCGGACGGTCTATCCAGGAAACACTTTTCGGGTGTTCCAGATATAAATAACATAGTTCTAGCAATATGTCCTAAAATATTACCACTTTTAAGACAAAGCAAATTAAATTCCATAAACTGGTTTCTAATGCACGTTATATACTGTCTGGTTACGTCAACAGCTTGTAGCCTCGTTCGAAGTTTCTTCATGGCATGCGCGACTACCGTCTCATACGTACAAACAAAAGCGCCAAATTATTGCAGCTTTACGGGATTTTCCGTTGTTGCAAATCAAATGTTTACTTGGCATGCAGTGATGTGATAGATATATATTTGGAGGACGATTGTAGGGATTACTGCACGACTTGTGACGAAAGATACATCAGAGTGTATGGCTACTCCAACATACAAATCACGTAGTCTAGTTTGTAAGGAATTTGACATTATCTATGATTGAATAAAGAGTAGAGCCGTGGTTGTGACACAAAGTCGTAACTACGAGACTTTTAGCTACGTCTTGTAAGGTTGTACTTGATAATTGCGGCAGGGCATAGATGTTTGTCAATTGGAACTGATTATCTCGTACAAAGTCACAGTCAAAGTATTGGTCATAGCAGCCACGGTAAGCATCCAGCATGTTGAACTCGATATCTTTGCACGAACTCGAGTTCTTCCGGTATTCAGTCAGCATGGCGTTCATCACACACGTTTGTACGTTGCCCATTGACGTGCCGCCCTGGAATAAAACACAATAATTATTATTAGCAGCACATTAATTATAGACTCTATATAAAATATAACACACCCTGATTAAATATGGACAAAAATATAATACAAATATGATGTGAATTTTGACAACAAACTTTGCATATAGCTAACAGGTTTGTGTACCAATATAGTGAATTCATCTTGACTGTATTGGGTATAGCTTGCAATATTTATAATTGTTTTAAAAAATTGGATATCATTCTTGAAAACTTAATGCATTTTTCAAACACTTTAACCATGCACCACTGTAACGTCTCAAAAAGTATGAGAAGTCATGATCACGTGTTACGTTTCACAAAGTACGAGATAGCATTAAGTTGATCAAAGAGAAGTGTAACTGAATCAAAACACAGAGCAATTTGTCAGTAATCAGCAGAATGGACAGTCAATTAACAATGGTACGACGCTTTGCCGTGGTCGTGATTTTAAGTTTCATGTGTACATGACATTAATGAACTCACTGAGTTTTTCAGATACATCTTGTACTTGTTTTCTTGCTCACAGAACACCTTTCCAAAAGAGAGTGCGAACCCGTCTGGGCCACATGTATATCGATTCTCAAAACAATCAAAGAAATCACAGTCACCGAAAGTCGCTAATTCTTCACAAGAGCTATCACCAGCTGGAATTAAAAGAAAAACGTGTAAGAACAAATCCATGGTCAATGCAAATCTACTTACAAGATTGTGGCTTATTGGCTGCACCAGTATAAAACTGTAAATCCTAAACTAACAAGTCCAATCGCCATTAAAGTGTGAAATATATCAACCACTTGAAGCTACCACTTGAACGTAATATTGATTACATATTTGAAAATATAATAAGGATTTGAACCAAAAAGTCACACATATCATATGGTTAATATTTCACATTCACACTAAATGATTTGTACGATCTGGTTGACAATTTCAATTCAATGAAATAACGAGAAACAATATACTGAAGATATGCAAATATTTAAGGACTGTGGTCTTCGTGGCGAGCGCGTTCGAATTTCGCGTAAATAAACAATGTACTTTGTACAAGTCGCCCTTTTTTACAAGCAGAGATACGCGTTACGGCTAGTTTGCCAAAGAATTGTATTTCCATACTAAAGGATGGGGGGTCGTCGCGCCACGCATGCGCGAGATATTGGTCTCATATAAACAAAGATGGTGACTTTGACTTTTGCGCAGACAACGACTACAAACTGAGACGTCACCAAGCTTTACTTGGATAGTTAGATAGTGGTGAATGGAAGGTATCGACGTAGTCACCAGCGGTAATTAGTGCAAGTCGCGTTCAGGTCATAACTCGTACTCGTGATATCTTTAGAAGAACCCATTGGATTGTGGGAAAACCAATGTTTATCAACACAAACGTCGCACATACGCGGCGCAACGACCACCGCCTTTTAACATAATCTTGATTCCCCCATTCTTGTAAGAAGCGTTCTCCATTAACGTGACGTCAACATAAAATAGATTGGTGAAAGTTTTTGTCATTCAAAACGAAAACAATGTTTAGTCGTTCGTTGTTTTAGAATACAATTATAGCACATTTTTCGAAAATATGTTTTTCATTGACGGATGACTACAGATCTGAACATCTCACATCCATGGCGCTTTGTCACTAGAGGGTGCGATTTACAAAAAAGTTCATTGCAACTACGTATCCCAATCTGCAACCAAAGTATCAATAATAATAATATGCTATTTCTCAAACATTCATATTCGTGGAAGAAAACATAAAATGTAACATCTATCAAATATGAGGGTGCGCCAATCAACATTAATTTTAGAAACACTCACATAGTGTGGGTGGGGTTGACGAGACTCCTTCCAGCAATCTCTGCCTGACACTGGTCTTCATTGCTTCCAGAATTCCATCAAGGTCATGGAAATTTCCAAGATGGAAGTACAAGGTCAGTTTTTCCACTTCTTGTTGGAGAAACTTCAACGTAGCGCTTTGTGGGTCCTGGTTAACCGTAGATAACAGCTGGTCAATGCTCGCTTTATAAGCTTCTAAGTTCTCGGCATTCTTCAAGTGTTCGTATAAGCTACCAGTCGATGCATCCCGGCGTAACCGATTTGAGATAGGTGGTTGAACACAGGAGGAATAGTGATTCTGGCCGTCGATATACAAATTATAGCACTTGGTGGAACTGTACACCTGCGGTATATGTTTATATTCGTCCAACATTTTCAATCCTACGCATCTGAATATTGACTGGCGGAACTGAAAGGTGAAATCATACACGACTGTCATTACTTCGACGATCGTATTACGACCACAATTGAATAATAATTATCAAACACGTGAATGTAACAGCAAAATTCACGAATGGATCTGCATGTCCGCTTCAAATACACAAATAGTAACTGAAATCACAATCTCATATTCAATCAGACAAATCATAATCAGGTACGTACCCCATCAGGCAAACTTTTACATCTATCGTGCAAGACACTGGTGATATCTAAGGATGAAGGACAGATGCTATGTCGGTCTTTGAAACACTTGAAGAATTCACAATCACCGTTATCTGCCATCTCTAGGCAGGAGAGTGCAATTCCTAAACGAAAAACATTTGTTATTTATTTCCCTCGACATGATAGATATGAAGAAACTGTAAAAATTGTAAAAAATATTGTCTACGAGTACATTGCAAACAATGACGTCATTACATGAATGTCACCTATAAGGACACTCTACAAAAAACACCTTGATGTAGTTTCCATTTCCTGCTTTATTGCACACACGTACATTTCAATTCTGTGTCAGTTATTCGATAACATTTATCGTTACAGTGCATATTGAAGCACATTTTTAATAGTGTTGTCTGATATTGCATGTTTAAATGATTTATCGTAAAATAAATACGTTCAATGTAGCAATGGATGTTTTGGTGTCTACAATAACAATATGTGCACATGCGCATTATTATCTCGATTGCAAACACGTAAGTTGGCTTCAGCTAAACTATCACGTAACTGTGTTTTAATATTAAGGTTGTCAATTATCGTGTTCATGTTACACCAAGTACGGGCTAAGATTTAAGCTGATCTCATGTGTTTGCATATCGGCTAAACCCAATTGCGTTTACGCACGAGAGGAAACATCGGTTAACTAGTATCAGATTTAGCCAATACTTAGTCTATTCTAAGCGTTCGCGCATGTTTCTTTGTTTGTTTTGCATGGGCTAACGTTTTCGACCACATAGCTCGTGCTAAGCAGCTGTATGCGAACGCAACTCAGAGTCAGATAAAGCTTCAAATAAACTGTACTGGCACTCAAAATGCTAGACGCATAAGACACGTTGATAATTTCACCGAGAATGACATGTAAGGTATATACACACACAGACAATATTACAAATACGTAATCGCATTATGTCTGGAGAAAGATGAAAAACCAGTCACGAGTTTGCGCCTTATTATCGTATAATAACCGTATAATTGTAAATTCTGGAATAATGTGTGCACAGACCTACCTGTACGTAGAACGGCAACTTTATTCACCCCGCCACAGACATCACTACCTCTACCAGAACAACGCGTCCCGCAATCAGATCTTGGGACCATATTACTGAGTGATACACAAATCAAAACTAGTTGAAAGAATGATGAGAATTTGCTCCCGGTGCCAACATTGACTGTGCATAATCTGAACTACCATGTACCGAAAATTTACCTAAAGAATGCGCATGCGTGAAGAATTACTCGTGCGTAGTGTATTCAAACAAATCAAAGCGTATTCCCATTTGTGTTTATTTTGCAGAAGAGTATAACCATCGAAACCATACCATCAAAAGTATCCTAAGTTATCCCCCTAATAATATCAATTTTAGTCACAGATGACAAACATACCTTTGTTGTTGACCATTTCCACAGGAACAAGTGTCTCCTTGCGTCAACCCGGCATATTCGTAACCCTTTTTGGAACACAGCGCCACACAGTGATGTGGGTACATGCGGTCAGATGAAAACGTTTCATAGTTCAACGAAGAGTGCGACTTGTCCACGCAACCTATATAACCTGTAATAAATATGCGTATGTGTATAGGTTAGACTAGAGTGCACAACATTTTTTTGAGATTCGAAGTACCGATAAATCAAGTTTAAGCACGTTAAGTTTTATTAACACATTAATATTAATGCAATTTTCGCAAAGTATGTATTAATATTGAAGGGAGGGAGGGTCGTCACCTGCGCACGTGCCACAAGGCTCATGGGTAGACGCTTGTTTGTAAACAATGACACGCAATGGCCATCTGACGCATGCGCAGTTGACGACTCCCGTTTTAATTAAACAAATCAATTCAAATACATTTATGCATACTGTGCTATTTGACACCTAAGGGAAACAGTTTATACACTTTGCATTGCGAGTAATTGACGTTTATTTATCATGCAATGACATTAAATGGGATTTTTGATTTCACAGGCAAAGTAATCTAATATTGTCGGCGATGGGTGCACACTGGTTGTAATTTAATGTAATTCAATATATGAAGATAAAAACAGCTGATCATAGAATAACTCGTAATCATTCATTTTGACTATGATGGCCTGGGAATCCATTTACATTTATAACATAACATTGCGCATCGCCCATTGTTACAAGTAGTTTACACCGTTAGCTTGAGTTCTTTTTAAGATAACACAGTCACACTTATAAAGTATAACGTTCTCTGAAACTCACCTGTTCTGTATACTGAATTTCTCAAGTTTCCGCCACAGAGGGTGCCCCTAATAGAATAACGACATTCATGCGAGCACTCGGTTGGATCATTGGCTGTTCCATACTGTGCGTACGACTCCCCACACCGACAACTCAACTGCGATGACGTGTACTGAAGTCCGGCATACGGGTACGCCCTCGCTCGGCAGTACGACGCACATGTATCTACGGAAGTTATGGAACTTGACGTTGATTTGTGTATCAGGGCTGGCAACGATGCATCGTCCTTGTAACAGCCAATGTAATCTGGAGAGATAAAAATACGTAATTAGATAAAACGGTCTCATTAGCGGTGAATTTCATTTAGCTATAATAATGTACCTTTCTAAACTGTTATGATTAACTAATAAAATCCGGATTGGTGGTTTCCATTTACTCGTATGTGAAATACATTAATATATATTACATGAAAGATACATCACATGAAAGACGAACACGCACACAAATACTAACATAAAGCAAATGACAGGGGACCCGAACCTTGACTGGGAAAGACACCTTGTCTGTAAATGTGTACGCGGTATCAGGACACACTCAGAGGAACAATGACGTCATAGTAAAGGCTCCCATCACGAAATAATCTTACAGACAGTTTGTTTGCATCCAATCAGACAGCATTGTATTGATCAGTGTTACATTCTGCGTCATTGATATACAGGCCATAAACAGTATATAAAACAGTATACCGAACAGTATACCGACGTGAGTGGTTAGTATTACTGGTCAAAGAGAACAGATCAATATGATTATGTAGTAATAATTTAACTATATTTTCAGTGAAATACATTCAACAAGTGTTGCGGTATTCATTTTTGATTGATTATATTAAAGCAACGGTGAATACATACGTATCTAAACACCGTTTGTATCTCCGTGAAAAAATGGTTTGAATAAGACCCGTAAACACAAAACAGATAAAAAGTGTTCAGCCCAAATTCAAATCTATTTTTTCACGATACACAACATTTTAAACTGCGATATGCAGCTTTCTGAATATATATATATAACATGTCGCAGCTGTCATCTGCATGATCTATTAGCTCAATTAAAAAAAAAACATTGTTAAAAGGTTTATCTCACCTTTAATACTCGATGTTAATATGAGAAAGATTCATTTACGTTATTAGATATTTAGTATTCAGAGTAGCAAATAGAAAAGTAATATGTTATATCAGGCTTGAAAGTAATCCGACCGAGTAACTGTAACAGCTGTGCAAATACGTAAGACAAGTTTATATATTTTCTACTCGCCTTTTATTAGTGGCGCGCCCTTGTTTTATGTCGACAATGCTCATTGGCATAACAGGGCAACATGACTGTGGGTTATTTTGGGGGATCGCGGAGAGCATCGTGGGAAACACGAACATTGTAACTACGATAATTGGCCTGACATCCACCAATGTATTGTACGACAGGGCGTTGTTGACAAGATTTGATGTATGTAGCTATTTTATTTAAACAAAGATGAATATGTATAAATGTAGTTCAGGTACACAAACAACACATCCTGTGTGCATATTGTCAAACCACCCTTCCAACCAATCTGAAATGAATCTTGCATACTGGATTCATGTTTCAGTAATAATTCCAAACAACTGTGACGGGAAAAAAACAATTTTCGTATTATTTTACCTGAGCATAGTGTAGTTTCCCCGGAGTCATTTTCCAGTAAATCTGCTTCAAGATTTCTACGAGTTGGGAAATCATCTTTGAAGTCTCTCAGCTCGGATATAGCGTCGTTCCAGCGTTGATTGGTCACGTGACCCCAGAATGTCGGAAACCTCCCCGGACTGCCATATTGGAAATAAACAGAAGCAATGACAGTTCTTTGTGCAACAGTCAATTCATCGTACTTTTTTAGATTTCTATTCCCTAAATTAAATAAATAACAAAGTTACATGTACTTTCCGTTACATCTTGAAGTCGCACACAATCAAATTGAACTGTTTTAGTAAAATGTGTCCCTGAGTTTGAGTGTGCTTACATTCGTAGTGCATATCACGTGATATGAACGAAATATTTGAACGTGTTTACGTTACTACAGTGTGGTGATTGATATTTATTGCTATTCTGTCTCAGTAATGTAAGGTTATATTTGTTCAAATTAAGGTGTGACATGAATACAGTTAGTCATACCAAGAACAGACTTGCAGTGTACGTATGTATCGTCGTAGAAGTGTGAGGCTCGTATTGACACGAAAGGTTATTTATCGAAAACAACATTGATCCTAACCTATTACGCACACTACATCTTCAAATATACAGAGAAAAATACAAGTGCATCAAACAAAAAACAGCAAACAACACATTCAAAATACAGGATGCCATTTCAAAATATCGATTCTCGTCCAATATTACATGTAGTGTATGCGAGATTAAATGAACGCAACCAGAACATATTGCATCAGAATCAAAGTTCCGTATTTCGAAACCGACATAAGTTATGATATTTGGAAACTTATGAGACTGAGTTGAAATGTCGACTTTCTTAACGTCCGAATGACATATTAACCTTTAGAAATTTGTGTACGCTACATGAAAATGGATGAATGTTACTAAATTTGTATAATAGATCAAAGAAATTGGAATTATTTATAGTAACTTAAAACGATAGTCTACGATTATAGCTGTAAACACTGGAATCAGTAAAGCCATATATTTTATAAATTCTAACTGTTCATGATTTCGAATGGGATAGTTGCACAGTACATGTACATGGAAATGGTGTTGTTACTGGTCGAGCCAGTCCAATCATCTTTTTTCGATTCGATTCGAAACAGATTGGTTTGTATATCAACATGAATTCATTGATTCCCGTTTCCTGTGACTGTTAATATTTTGCGAAAATCATGAATCATAACGTTATACCTATTTCCGCCACTTTATTGTCGTACGCTCTCCTGACGTCATCTATTTCTTTGTCCATGACACGGTTACTGAGTTGTGTTGCTTCGTCTTTTTCGAGATGGAGCCCTCTTTCATTTAGTTTGTTCTGCGCTGCCGTTCCCTGAGAATATTATAAGGTAATATTGGACGGAGTGTGTTGCAGCAAAATGAATCGCATGCAATGTTGTATTTAACAGAGAACTACTGAAGTATTTCAATATGAATTTTAGCGACGAATTACGTATATGACGTGATGATGACGTCAAATGTTTGATTATGTAGTCGTTCAATTTAAAAAAGGAAATATCATTATTGTGTATTGACACATGTAACTGGTATCGACTCTGTGTACGGCGTTTCATTTACGTCACAAAAGCGCGTCGTCGCTAGGGGGCGGTACTACAATCGAAGCACTGTTTCTCTCAGCGAGTTCACTTTGAGAAGTCAACATGACGTAATATTATTATAATTCTGAAGATCGTTACACATCTAAAACAATACTAACCCTTAGACCAAAATACGGCGTGAATTTTGTTATGATTGTTTTAGGGACATCCATATCCCGGAAATATTTAGCGTTTTTACTTCCCAGGTCGACACCACTACCGATAGTGACTCCACTGTTTGCATGGACGTTACCATGTTTGTCTTTGGGAACGTATCCATCCATACGGAAACCTTCACGAGCTCTGATGAATGATTTGTCGATAAGACAGTCTTGTGATACTACGGCGACGCCTACATTGGGAAGAAAGTACAAGTATCCATAAAGTCACTGAGTCAAATATCTCCATCGTAATAATACAAAATTGATGATGCTCTGCCTAGCTTTTAAAATCGAATAGTAAACAACGCCATAACCGGAGTTAAAATCCCCTCGAAATGTAGCTGATTCAACCACACCAGTAATGGCCATATTGGAATTGTTGACCAAGCCGAATGTATCAGTCCTATATTTTGTATTAACGGGTTGGTTTTCTCTGAGGTTCTATTCATAAATGTAATGTTAGTACGATGCCATATTAAATCAAAACTGTTTGAAATACAAAAACGCCATCAATAGACCATTTACCTTTCACTACGAGATCTCGCGTTTTGCGTGAAATTTATCTTAGAAACAGGGAAAAAAGGACATAGCGTCGTAATGACTTCAAAACATCGCGTAGAATTTGATGAACGCGAAAATATTTTGGGAGCATTTTCATGCTTAATAATGTGCCATATAGATTTGATGATGGTCAATTTTGATGACGTAGGGATATCTCAACGTAATATTTCCCTCTCAATGATCGGAATTTTGACACTAAGCTACATTTTGCGGCAGAAGTTCGATACAAGCCTTTCACGCAATACGAGATCTCGCAGTGAAAGTGAAAAAAACCTATTGTATTTGTATTTGGAAGCGATTGAAATATAAGCGCTTTCACTGATACTAAATTATAATTGCAGTGTGATACCATATCTTACTCCCGTGGCCAAACAACACGGCAGTATCCACCAGAGGTTGTACTTGCTGTCATGTATAGAAGTACCATTATTTCCACTTTCATCATGTTAGATTAATATCCGGTGATTAAACTAGCCTCAGTCGGGCCGCACGTGCAACATAATACACGAACACAACGCGTGCCAATAAATTGCAACGCGATTCCCCTAACACGTTATGTTCATTGTACGACAGGGCGTTGTTTACTACAAATGACGTATGTCTAAATTTGCGTATATATTGCCTTAATAAAACTCGTACATAACAATTCGACCTTTGACTTTTGCTGACCCGACTACGTATCTTACTAGTGTGTACTTTTATGTACTCATTCAACAAATACATTGTCTGAATTGGTAAGGAGAAATGGTTATTCGAAAGTAAATCATGTTTTATTCTTATTTCTTATAAGTAACGAACGAAAAAACGGCGCAAAACTAATTGAGAGTTGACCTAACAAGTACACAATGTTCTCTTTTGATATATAACGTCTGACTCTAGCTATACGTTATTTTATTTGTATAAACGTTGGTGTTAACGTTGTCCATAACAAATTATGAACGGCTTTGACATTAATAATCAATTTTATATATACCTATCACGTATCGTTGCCAAAGCGGTTTAATTTTGAACTGAAAACAATTTGCATATTATAAGTAATACTGCAGCAGGTAAGTACACTGTACCTGAATCTGGACTTGGATCAGAAGTTGGATCGGGACTTGCATCGGGACTGGGACTTGGATCGGGACTTGAACACAGGTTCGTTTTCCCGGAGTCTTCTTCCAGCAAGTCTGCTTCCAGATTTCTTCTAGTCCCGAAGTCGTCTCCGAAGTCCCTCAGTTCCGCTATAGCATCGTTCCAACGTTGATTGGTCACGTAACCCCAAAATTTTGGGAACCTCCCCGGACTGCCATATTGGAAATAAACAGAAGCAATGACAGTTCTCTGTGCAACAGTCAATTCATCGAACTTCTTCAGATTTGTATTGCCTGAAAATAAACCAATAATTTAAAAAAAAGTCATTATTTATACTTCTCGGCAATGGGCGTACCGTATCTGTGTAAACGATCCGCCAGACCTGGCACAAACCTAATTCACGCGTTTATCGCGTTAGCGTAGCGCATTTATTTCACTCACGTCGCGCATCCCCCGCACTTTTTTAACGAACCACACAGAGTGACGAATTGACTCGTCCAGCCATAATTATTTGTATTTTTGATGACACAACTTTCCTAAGTAGGTTATCTCACATACAATGGAGATCATAGACGTTAGATGATGACGTTGTGTTTTCAAGAAGTTGGTTTAGATAGCCACTGCAGTGGGCAAAATGAGCGATGCCAATATGCGATACTTGCGTGACGGAAAAACATTGAACGAACGAATAATGTATTGTGTTGTTATCCAAAGACAAATACGTTCGCTTTACTCAGGCCCGTGATCCTTGGTAATTTTTTTTTATTTTATTTTTGGGAGGAGTTCTAGGCTGCTTTCTTTTCTCGAAAAAAACTAGACTGCATCGCATGTTAGCGTTTTCGAACTGGTAGTGAGTACCATTCGTGCAGTCAACGTGCGTAAATATTTCATATTTTACGAATCATGTGACATATTACCAATTTCCGTCACTTTATTATCGTATGCTCTTCTGACGTCGATTATTTCCTTATCCATGACACGGCGACTGAGATCTGTGGCTTCGTCTTCTTCTAGATGAAGCGGTATTTCATCCAGTTTGTTTTGTGCTGCCGTTCCCTGGAAAAATATTAATATTATTAGCATCAGAAAATATCACACAAAAACATTTCAGTTACTATTAGTGCATCACCATCTATTTTGTATTGGCAGACGATCACAGGTCAGACCACAGTCTCGGTGTAGAGGGACTGTGGTCAGACTAATGCCGACTCTGTGAACATTTACGCCACGGAAGCGCTTCGTCGCTAGGGGGCGCTACTACAAAGAATGCCTTGTTTCTAATCAAACTTGAGGATGGCATATTATTATACTCCAACCGAATATCACACATAAAAAAAAAACTTATAGTAACCCTTAATCCAAAATACGGCGTGAATTTTGTTATGATTGTTTCAGGGACACCCATGTCACGGAAATAGTTGGCATTTTTACTTCCCAGGTCAACGCCATTGCCGATAGTGACTCCACTGTTTTCATGAATATTGCCGTCTTCGTCTTCAGGAAGATATCCATTTACACGGAAACCTTCACGGGCTTTGATAAATGCTTTATCAATAAGACAGTCATTTGATGCCAAATCTACAATAAGGATATAATAATAGAAGAAAATATCTGATTAGCTTGGTTGCAGAAACTTTTATATTTACCACGGAGACGTTTCTAGTAACATGTATTGTATACCCATGTTTATTTTTCAGCTTAATGGACTAACCATCGTATACCTCTGGCATATCACGGTAACTAAAACTGTGGACATATTCAAGTTCTCGACTACTCCGCCAATCGTGCCAAGATTCCCACTTTAAATTAATGACTGTAACATTCACAACAGCAAGTAGAAAATTATACCCCCTGAAGGTATTATTAGAAACTTCTGATTCAATAAGCGCAGAGGGATACACAAAAGTAAATGTCTCCAGTCAAATCATTTCTATCGCATGATCATTTGCGTTCTTGGCGTGTGTTGATATTGTCGCTTGGGACTCGATTCCCGCGCGTACGCAGGTGACAACGCTCCCGCTTAAGTAAATGAAGATAAACAAGCTTAATATTCATAGACTGAAGAAATAAACAAGTAAGAAATTATAATACACTCTACCTGAATCGGGACTTGGCCCGGGACTTGCATCGGAACTGGGACTTGTATCGGGACTTGAACACAGGTTCGTTTTACCGGAGTCTTCTTCCAGTAAGTCTGCTTCCAGATTTCTTCTAGTCCCGAAGTCGTCTCCGAAGTCCCTTAGTTCCGCAATAGCATCGTTCCAGCGTTGATTGGTCACATGACCCCAGAATGTTGGGAACCTCCCTGGACTGCCATATTGGAAATAAACGGAAGCAATGACAGTTCTCTGTGCAACAGTCAGTTCATCGTACTTCTTCAGATTTGTATTCCCTGAAAATAAACCAATAAAAAAGTTTATTATTATTTACATTTCGATGCAATGAGCGTACCATTACTTCTACTCTGTGTAAACGATCCGCCAGACCTGGCAAAAACTAAATTAACGCATTTATCACATTTGGCGTGGAACATTTATTTCACCCGCGCCGCGCATCCCTGGCGCTCACGTTGCTTATTATCATCGCACTTATTTACCGAACCACACAGTGACGAATTAAATCGTCCAGTCATAAATATTTGTATTTTTTATAGCATCATTTCTCCAAAGAAGTAATCTCACATACAATTGAGAACATTGGTGTTAGGTGACGATGTTGTGTCTTTAAGAAGTTGGTTTAGATAGCCACTACAGTGGGTAAAATGTGCGACTTTGGATGCAAATATGCTATACTTGCGTGATTGAAAAACAACCAACGTACGACCCTAAAGCGAGCAATGAGCGATGCGAATGCAATAATAATGACAGGTTGGGCGGAAGCCGTAATGTATCGGTATTCCAACATGTGTGCCCTATTTAGGTACTTATCACAATCATGGGGCTAAATTTAAAAATTCGATTATTGGTCGTTTTGTTGTTGTTGGAGGTTGCATCTTTTTTCGAAACGTGCCTGTACTGCGTCGCGTTATAGACGTATATCGAACTGATAGCGAGTACCATTTGTGCAGTCAATGTGCGTAAATATTTCATATTTTACGAATCATGTGACATATTACCAATTTCCGTCACTTTATTATCGTATGCTCTTCTGACGTCGGTTATTTCCTTATCCATGACACGGCGACTGAGATCTGTGGCTTCGTCTTCTTCTAGATGAAGCGGTATTTCATCCAGTTTGATTTGTGCTGCCGTTCCCTGCAAAATATTAATAGTATTAGCATCAGAAAATATCACACACCACAATAAAGTTATTATTAATGCATTTCGGTCTGTTTTGTGTTGGCAGGCGACTACAGGTCAGACTAATCACTAATACTGCCGCTATGTACGGCGTCCTTCGCCACAAAAGCGCTTGGTCGCTAGGGGGCGCTACTACAAACGATGCCTTGTTTCTAGTCAAAGAAATGTCAACATAGTATATTATTATAATCCAACAGAATATCACACATAGAAACAACTTATACTAACCCTTAATCCAAAATACGGCGTGAATTTTGTTATGATTGTTTCAGGGACACCCATGTCACGGAAATAGTTGGCATTTTTACTTCCCAGGTCAACGCCATTGCCGATAGTGACTCCACTGTTTTCATGAATATTACCGTCTTCGTCTTCAGGAAGATATCCATTTACACGGAAACCTTCACGGGCTTTGATAAATGCTTTATCGATAAGACAGTCATTTGATGTCAAATCTACAATAAGGATATAATAAAAGAGTCTGATTAGTTTGGTTTCAGAGACTGTCAATTGACTCGGGCATATCACGTGGTCATACTCAAGTTCTACACTACCATTAACACTACTTCACTTAATGACTGTATTATTCACAACAACAAGTAGCCCAGGATGGGATAATTAGAAACTTAGGGTATAATAAGCTTGGAAAGGTACACATGGGGAAACGTCCTCAGGCAAATTATTTTCATCATAGACATTTAAAGTGTATTTTATGGTATATGTCTTGATCGCATACTCAACCTGAGTGAATGGGTGTGGCCATGTGGCTTTAATAAAAGGGTAGTTTTGTCAATGCTTGAAAGTCAAATACAGTCTACTAGATTACGTTGTGTGCCGAATAGTACCAGTGGCGGATCCAGGGGGCTCTTGGGGTCCGGACCCCCCCCCCCCCGTTAAAAAAATTATTCAATAACGGATTTGTTTAATATAAACAAAATCATTAACTTAGTCTGGCGATTTAAAAGTTCGGAACCCCCCCCCCCAATACAACAAATCCTGTATCCGCCCCTGAGTACATTGATGTGATTATTAGAAACGGCAGGTTCAATAAGCGGGAAGGGTACACGAAAGGAAACTACATTAGCCACTAAAAAACCCTGTCCAAACATGCTGCCAATATGTTCAATATCGTTAGTAAATTTGAAAAAGGTGAACAAAATGCACATACAGTGGCAGCGACATGGGGGGGGGGTCGTGCCGCCGCCTCCCACATATAATTATTATATCCTTAATAATGAACCTGAAATGCCATGTGAGGTTTTTAATAGTACCAAGGGAGCCGTGACCTTGAACTAATAACGGTGTCGTAAAACCACAGAAAGTTACAACTCTTGGTTATATGGGTTTATTGTTGTGTGCTAATTTAAAATCGCTGATGACCTTCAATAGCAAAAATTGTCATGCCGCTTAGTAATAGTTTTCTCCGAGGACATTATACTACAGCTGACTGACATGTGTACGCCTTCGTGGTGCTCACCCATCACGCCAATGAGACCAGTTTCTTCGGTAACTAGACAACTAGACCCCAGACAACCGGACCCCTGTATACGTGACGGGGTTGACCCGTGACGGCACTGACGGGACGAGTTGTCTAGATCTGTAAATAAATCGATCTGATTTAACACATCTTGTTTACCCTAGACCGATCTGATCGGTACAACTCACCCGTTGTCTTGGGGTCCAGTTGTCTAGAAACCGTTTCATCGTAAGTCATATTTCAAGGTCAGAAGTCATTGCTACCCATGTCAGCCATGTTTATGATCTGATCCTTCCAAAAGTAGCGGAGCTTTTCTGAATCCCCACTGAATCCCCACGCCATGATCATATTCTAAACAAGATGTTTATAACACGGTGCCACACCTATACATAAACCTTGACCATGGTGGAATCACGTGGAATGTACCCAAAGTAAGAAATACTGTATATAATAATCTAAAAAGTTACCTTCAAAAAGAAGCATAGAATTATCATTGATGTGGTATTCACAGCTTTTAACTATGGCGACTGCACCGTGACGAAACTGTTACTATCTTACTGTACAAATATCGTGTTACGAACCACACAATGATGGCGTCGGTTCAGTTTTGGAGCGCCGTGAACTTACCTTCCGCCGCACTTAAAAGCACCGAACTAGAAAAGTTAACCACCAACACCGCCAGTAGCGGGAGAACTAGACGCATGTTGCTCGATGTAACGTCGACAAGCAGAAAATTAGCGTGGTTTAAATATTCACAAAGTTAGTTGGTCTTCTTGATAGAACACGACAGAGTTACGTCCGTTTGCCTGTTTACATCCTCATTGGTGTCATTGACCCCGTTCACATGACCTATGACCCCTTAGATTACCGGGGAAACGCGCAATTGGATCTGGGTTATTCCGTTTTTTTCCCGGATGTATGTTATGAAAGATAATATTTCGCAGAAATGAATTAAGGAGAATATGCTAAAACAATTGTACAGTAATGCATTGTGTTTTTTAGTTCCACGAGTTATGCAATAAAACAATAACTTTTAGTGGCATCTAAATGTACAAGATGCCAATGTAACAGGAATAGCGTGTTTTAATTTTTTCTCTCTGAAAAATGCTCCTCGTAAATTAAAAAAAAGATATTTGCCAGTTAAACTAGTAGCTTCGCGGTAAGTGACTTTCGCGTTAAGTGGGTTTCGTATTGGGTGGGTCTTGCGGGGAATAGGGCTTTGTCGCAGTAACTGGTCCTTTCATCGTTGTTGAGAATTAAAGTTTTATGTTTCTTTAACAACTTGCGCTATTCTGTGAATACCATCCTTAGAAGCTATTAATTTGTCTTTATGGTTTGTACAGTTGCTCTGGCAGGAGTTCCAAAATAAGACCCATGCTTACATTACATTATCATTATGATCTTATTGATGTTGCAAAGCATAGTTGAATATTGTTTATTACAATTAATAATCCCCATAACCGTTTTCCAATATAGATAAATTATAGTACGTAACAAATATATAACTCAGTCTCAACAATGAAATAAAGAAAAGTATATATATATATATATATATATATATATATATATATATATACATTATTACTAATTGAAATTGAAAGAAATTGCAATATAAAATATTCCGTCAGTAACACTTCTCAAGGGCGTATTTCACGGTCATTGTTATTTACGAAAATATTTGTTTATAATTTTATAAATTGGGTTGGCAATTCCCACCCCAATTAGTTATAATTTGTACATGTTTTAATAAATAAAATTAAAGATACACTAACAAAAATGAAATATTAATTATTTCATTATATAACCTGCACAAAATTAATCAATATTTTTCCCTGCTAGAATGATGTGTAATTTCATATTGGAACCCTGATAAAGTTCACAGCTGGCGATTTAGCAATACCCGTATCAGGGATAGTCAACTTCTTGTGATTTTGATTACATAACGTTTTTAGGTTCATGTACCTAAGCGGCCGTTCATCGGTAAACAATTAAGCCAAGGCATGACTATTCTCCGTTTGTACACAATCTGGGAAGTTCGAATTACTAAATGAAGTACACAGGACGGCGAAGCTGAACTATCCAAGAACCAACACATACCAAAAATCAAAATCGTCGTACCGTCACTGATTGGGAAAAAATCCTGTCCCACCACTGCCATTGCAACAGCCACAAACTGATTTTTGAATACTTTCGCTCTAAATTTATTACCTCCTTCCAGTTTTGTAATAGCAGTGTTCAATTGATCATGCTTTTTATTTTGCCTACTTTGCGCACTAGTAAGAGATCACCGGCGCCGACATTGTTACACTGTATCAACGTAATCCCAACGCAACTTTGAACTTTGAATGAACTGTAAATGTAACACAGCAGAATACGTCCTACCTAGTAATAACTAAGTGATTTCTAAAGACTGAATGATTTTTGCGAACTTCGTATACGGGACCCATTTAGTTATAAACTTACGTTATAGCTTCACGTTCATGTCCTACCATGGAAACGGTCAAAACAATTACTTGTCAGTGTCTGACTGTTATATACAGCCCAGAACACGTCAGAATAGTAAAAAAAAAAGTCAGAAAATGTCAGTTGCCCGTGCCTTGAGAGCCGTTGAACCAAAACAATCTGTTACCCTTCGCCGCCCACAGCATCGATATGATTTTATATTGCATGGAAAAGAACACTAAATGCAGCTATCCCGGTCAGCAATCAAATGATCAATCTTCATGATTTATGTAACTGGTATTTCCATCTATTTGCTTAATGGTCTGAATGTGTTTTTACGTACAGTGACGCGAACATTCAACAACGTGTTATATGTGATTTGAACTTATTATATTTTATTTACTTTTCAAAATTCATACTAACTTGTTATATTTTATTTTATTTTTCTGTATTGATTAATATTCCTATTCCTATATACTGAAAGAAATGTATATTTCTAAAGATGCAATAAACAATTATTATTATATTATTCAAAAACGTGTTGAACAGGAAGTCCATCTTGGGCTAGTGGCATTGTTTTGTGGAAAATGTGTCTCCACTGTCTTGCATCATCTCATAGAACATAATTAACCCTTTTTCATACAATGGTCTGGGTAAATCAAGTGCGCATACTCATTTTCAGCCAATCAGGCGTGCCGTAACAGCGAGTATTTCCTTGATTTACCCAGAATTCTGTGCGAATCCCCCTTGATTCTGGCTGCTGGCCATTTTCGTTCATGAAATCGTCGGATATCATCAGAAAACGCGGGATTTGTGCAGTTTTGAATAAAACCAAGTTAGCGATTATGAACAATGGTTATTAACGTAACACCTGATCCCCTCTAAAATTTTTGTTTCGCATTTTAAGGTAAGAAATCGACATTTGAAACCGACAGGGTGTCGATTTACTCGGTGCCGTGTTTCACAACTTGTTTATTTATATACGTATAGCGGATGATTTTTATTAAAAATTAGTATTTATTGATTTTCAGCCCCCAAGTGACTGTGCTTAAGAGGGATGGAAATCAGTTGATTTGAGGGTGTCACAGTAAGCGAGGTTGTAAATCGTTTTTATGTACGGGAGTCTGCACGATGCACTTCCACACTGTCCGTAGAGGACGCCATACATCAGTAGGATATGTTAATAAGCACCCAAAGGGAAGATGATTTGCCATGAGTTGAGTACCAGTAAACAACGCATTATTCGCCAAACTGACTTAGTTTACTAACACGAATTGCGTGTTTTTTGTCAGTAGTTAACACGATTAAAATATTTACAATATAGAATCATGTCAAATGTTCCAATACACTGTATATACATTATCAAATACAGGAGTAATGAACGACATCGAATTGTTCACACATTCTGGTATTTTTTGGCGGTAAAAATTCATTATTATTGAAATTCACCCAATTACAACTCCGACCGACCGCCATCCAGACACACACACGCACTCACATCCTCGAAACAATTTAACTGTGACGTATAATATTGGACGTTAGTTCTGTTGCTGAGAATATACTAGTACTATGTGTACAATAATTTTAACAAATTTTAAATCAAAAACTGCTGTTTTATGTTGGAAATTATTTGAAAACAAGTTTAAATAAATGGTACTGTACCTGTGTTAATACATAATTACAGAATTAACATATGACATAAGTGGCACAACATTGTGTAACCAGTTTTATATACGTTGTGTCAACGGATCACTTGTTATCAATCATTTGAATTCAATTGACGTACAGCAAGAAACACTGGCGGAAGTAACTAACAAATAAACAAACATATAAACATAATTTGCATACTATCAGTCTACGACTCGCCACGGACTTCACATCCTCACAGACATTGTTTGCAGATCTTTTGCAACGAGAACACAACGTAGTTTTCCCCGAGTCGTTTTCCAGTAAGTCTGCTTCCAGATTTCTTCTCGTTGAGAAATCGTCTCCGAAGTTTCTCAGCTCTGATATGGCATGGCTCCATCTTTGGTTTGTCACGTGACTCCAGAATATAGGAAACCTCCCCGTGCTGCCATATTGAAAATATACAGAAGAAATTACAGTTCTCTGCGCAACAGTCAGGTCATTGAACTTCTTCAAGTTTGTATTCCCTGCAAATAAAAATACGTTTTTATATATAACACATAATCTGCGCAGCAATTCCGTTAATTTAAATTTGTCTTTGTTGTGATGTTATTGTCACACAATCGGTCATACCAAGGACATTTTTTTTGTATTTATTAGCATATACCCTATTCCCCTCTAACGGATGCGCCAATTTCAACAATGTACGTCTGGGTTCGTGTCTTGGACAACGACAGGGTAAAATGGTTTACAAATCTAACTGACGTTGAACCCACCCAATCGAGCAGCAGCAAACAATGTGGACGTAGTATTTATGCCATTAATATAGATTGTACAAATGCATTTTAGCGGATGATTTAAACAAATTGTTTATTTACAATTCGAAATTGAATTTTTCATTCTCAGTGAATGTGTATATAGATTTTTGTCTGAATAACAGCACCCTGGGATATAGGCGTACAATGCTGCTGTACAATCGCACAGTCTACCTGTGTTTAATTTGTTGGTATATTCAAATTCGTGGCACATTTTGTGATGGCGTGAAATTGTCAGTGATTGATCGTTTATAGAAGAGGTGGGTGATAGTGTCATCTTGTGACATTATATTTTACCTATTTCCGTGACCTTATTGTCGTAAGCTTTTCTGACGTCATCTATTTGTTTGTTCATGACTTCGTTACTGAGGGTTGTTGCTTGGTTCTCGTCGAGATGAAGCGGCATTTCATCGAGTTTGTTTTGCGCTTCCATTCCCTGGAATTATACCAATATTTTGATTTAGATTATTAGCAACAGGAAATCGCTCCACATTTGCACTTCCAGCCCTTCACAATTCCATAGAACACAGCCTTCAAGAAAATATTACTTTCTAAAACCTGGAATAATATGCAGGATAACAGAAATGGAGAAATAATCCCCACCAGTAGCGCGATATACTATTGCATTGTCTTATGTCACCAGCCAGCTACATTATATATGACATAATATCTCCACTAATAGTAAAATTGATATAATACTGACAAATGACCGCAATTCACAATTTATTTTATTTTAAATAATTAACAATTATAATTATATACTAACCTTCAAACCAAAATACGGAGTGAATTTTGTTATGATTGTTTCAGAGATACCCATATTCCGGAAATATTTAGCATTTTTACTTCCCAGGTCGACACCATTGCCGATAGTGACTCCACTGTTTGCATGGACGTTACCATGTTCGTCTTTGGGAACGTATCCATCCACACGGAAA